AGCTGTACTGAACTTTCTGTGTAAATTGAGGGCGCCATTGAAAATGACAGTGCTAAGGCGAAATTTGATTGGCTGAATCTATGGCAGCCATCTTGAATGGTACACACACAGTTCTGCGTAATTCGAACATCGAATACATTGCAGTTTGCGCTCTAGTATTCTTATTATATCTCTATGCTAGTTACACGTATGTTTGAAACTCGAGCGTTGCGGTGTTTGGGTGTAATGTACACGATTTTAATTTTCATTCCTTGGTACTTTATTTTTGAATAAGATGATCCACTTGGCTATGTTTTGGCTACAATAGTTTAATAACTTGTTATTACCATACTCATTATCATTAATGAAATAATAGTCAGTCAGAGGGCTTATTAATATGTAATAATATGTATACTAATGTAATGTAGTATTAAGGTTCAATGGTATTAACTTGCATAACCATTGGAATCGATACCCTTCACCTGATAAATGCCTTAAATTGTTTTGACAGTTTTAATGGTCAATTTGAGTATACAGATAATCTAATAATATAACTGGACATTGTATAACTTTACCCTAGTCAGTTGGACTTGGCCTTTCTCACACTATGAATCTATGATTGTCAGTTTTGAGCCTAAGCTCTGAAGTTAGTGATACATCTTAATTAGCAGTTTTTTGATAAACAAGTTACTAAATCATAGAGAAAGAATTTCTCTATGATCCAATCAGAAACTCTAAAATTATGGGGTGACTTACTTGAGACACACCCCCATTACCTAAAGTATAATAGGCAAACACCCCCATATCACTGAATCAGCAATGATCAGTAACCAGTAATCAGTAGTAGTGAGTAGTGAGTAGTCAGTAGTTAGATTCAACACCGTCAGAAGAAAGTACAGAGCTGAGCTGACTCCACTCTAAAAGGGTTCTCTAACATCTGAAACCTGGAGTTTAGCTAATTGTAACCAACGTACAGTTTGTGTGAATAAAAGTTTGCAGTGAACTAAAAGGAACTGTGTCACACTACTCATTCAAAGTCACCAACAACTAACCGATATTCAACACTAAGCCTGAAGGTGGCGCTTTACTACGACGGCCATCTTGGATGGTACACTTACATAACTCTGCATTGCTGCGCCATCTTGTCAGCACTTTGGTTGTTTAATAGCTCTATGCAGTGAACAGGTTCTTCCCCAGAGAAATGGTATAGCGCCACCTAGAGATAGAGACCAGAGTTCAGAGAGAGAGAGAAACTGAGAAGAAGTGCAAACTGTAAACATACACAGTAGTTAATACTAATTACGATAGTGCCTTTAACAATAATGGTTTTGAAAATTACCATAAAATTGTTGAAGTTCATTTTACATTGATTATGGTTGGTACTGGGGTCATAAAATTGTATATACTTTGTCTAACTTTCCAAGTCTCCATGAGATAGGTTTTACAGTAATTGTCAATGATTTCTCCTACTTTATGAGACGCAATTTGATCAAAAAGATTGTCTATAAATAGATGGCGTTTATACTCAGCAGATGCATTTGTAAATGATTCCCAAAAATGGTCTATACCCCAATCAAAGAGGTCATCTTTTAAATTCTTAAAAACATTTTCTCTCATGGGATGGAGTCTTTCACAGTCAAATAAAAAGTGATCTGTCGTTTCCTTAAGGTTACCGGAGCATACAGAAACCATCATTTTCTACCGACCAATATTCTTTAATGCCCTATAACTTTAGAGAATTAGTGCGGGCTCTAAATTTAAGAGACACCGCTTTAAAGTTAGTCTGATCTAAGATAAGGTTCGATGGAAGGGTGACCTTTTTATCTGGTATACGCTGTAAGACGCATGTAACCATGCAGTGAGAAGACATGTACTCTCTAGACTAGATTATTGTAATGGTCTCCTTACAGGGGTTACCCAGGCACACATTAGGAAACTACAAAGTCTTCAGAATTGGTCTGCACGTCTCATATATCGTGAAGACAGACGTAGTGGTGCCAGACAACTGATTAATTCCCTTCACTGGCTACCCATCAAAGAACGCATTTTATTTAAAATTCTTTTATTTGTGTTTAAATTTTTCAATGATCAAGCACCAATATACTTCAGTAGTTGTTTAAATGTTCATCATACATTACGACCAAATCTTCGCTCTGAATCAGACCCTTTTCGCCTTTCATGCCCCTTAGTTCATAGCAGATCAGGTGATCGTTCCTTTAGTGTAACAGCGGTCATAGAATGGAATAAACTCCCTACAGCTATTAAAACAACAAATAATGTTGAATCTTTTAAAAAACTACTGAAAACATATCTTTTTTCAAAATTAACTTGAGCTTATTGCTTCAAATCATTATTCAACTCTGTAAACGTTATGATATAGTTTTCTATGAATAGCGTATCTAAATACTAATACTAATACTAATACTAAGTGACCTCTTTGATTTAGCAATTCCAAACCATATCATATCAACTTCCATATTTGTCTTTTTAAATTGTATTCAACCACTTATTTTGTGGTTCCATGTTGTACATTGATGAAAGGTTACATTTGTTTAATAGGCCTTTTATTTTGGTTAGCCATTGCCATTTATGGTTATTTTCAACATGAAAAATTGATTTAAACAGTAACTGTGGCCAGTTATCTTCACTTGTATTTTTAAGTCGGTTAAAATATCGTACGACAAAAGTGCTTGTATTGATTCACCATAAAGTGCAACATTAGCCACATTCCTAGGTGCTTTAATAATGGTTCGGGCCATTTGGTATTGGATGTTTTCAATTCTCTCCGTGGCTGTTTTTCCTCCGAACCATATAGAACAAGCGTAATTTATTGTTGGTATAAGCCAATTGATTTCCAAATCAAGTCGTCATAAAATACTCGATTAAAATCATCTTTATTATTATTGGATAGACTGAATATAGGCCTATCGATAACTTGGTTGCCTTTTCTTATAACCTCATCAATGTGGTGCGAGTCGGATAAGGATCTTGATATAATCATGCCTAGTACTTATAATCTTCTACTTCTCTTAAGTAATTGTCCCCCAGTTTCCACTTCCTAAATTTGTTAAACTTTTGGTCTGTTATTAAAATATTTGATTTGCTGTAATTGAAGTTCATCTTGTATTTATTGTCGAAATCATATGTTGTCTTTTGTAATTTATTGAATTGGTTATAATTTTCGCCGATCAACACCACATCATCAGCCCAAAAGAGGCTACCGATTCTTGTATCAAAAATATTTATACCAAGCTTTCGTTGTGATACCATTTTGTTCCATTCATTGCTATAAATTGTAAATAACATTGGTGATAGAGTACACCCTTGCTTAACGCCTTCGTTAACATCAAAATAATCTGTAACATGTTACCAAATGAAACTTTACATTTTACATTTTTATATAGATTTTTAATAATGTTTAGGAGGTCTCCTCTGATGCCAATTCTTTCAACTGCAGCGAATAGACCCAGTTAAAACAATCGGAAATGGCTGTGGAAATTTGTCATCCATCAAGTTCCACTGGAAACAATGGAACAACGCCAGCTATTAATTTAACAGCTCAAAAACTGACTTACCTTAACATTTTAAATCAGTTATAATCGTAAGTAATATTTATCAATAATTCCAAGCATAACTATTTACTTAAATCTAGTATAATTTAAGGATGACTGGAACCAGAAAATCATCATCATCATCATCATCATCATCATCATCATCATCATCATCATCATCATCATCATCATCATCATCATCATCATCATCATCGCAAACTCTGACGGAAACTCTCATCATCATCATCATCATCATCATCATCCTCATCATCGCAAACTCCTGACGGAAACTCACATGCTGATAACATCATCATCATCATCATCATCATCATCATCATCATCATCATCATCATCATCATCCATAATATCATCATCATCATCATCACCATCATCATTATTCATTAACCCTGATCATTATCGTTGCTTATTTGGCTTTTTAAAACAATTAAAATTAAAATAAACAGTAATCAATAATTTTACAAACTTTGCCTCTAAATTTTCGGATTTTCGTAACAGCGGTGGAGGCATACAAACACACACACGTATGACTACTTACAAACACACATAACCCCTCACAGCCACACACACCACCCACCAACTCACCCTATTATGCGGTACTAAGCGTGCATACAAAGTAGGAAAACAGAGGAACTTATATATTTAATTATCCTTATATTTACAACAGTTTCGGCCTTCGTCATAAACAGTTGATGCATCAAAAGATGGAGGATGATATAAAATACAACAGTTTGGAAAGTGAATTTTATGAAAACAAAGCATATCACACATAATTTAGAACTACAAAAATTAACAGTGAAGTGTTCTTACTCCATGAGTTGGATAAAGTTTCATTAGCTAACAAAAGCAAATAAACCTATACAGTATCTAGATAGAGACCATGATGTGAGCATTTATTCTGCATTACCATGTGACCTAGCTAAATATGGTCATGATGACACCATACTATGACTATATACAGGCACATCATGACTATATGGGCATACAACAGTTTTTTTGTCAAAGAAAATGTCATGGTCTAGGCAAAGCTTTAGGGGAAAAGATGTCGTGGGGTCAATATGCTCTTAAAAAGAAATTTGAGGGGAAGACGTTCAAAATGATTTTCGCACTAAAGGTCGGTTTACACTATGACGATAATGATCAACAATAAAAAGCAATTGTTCATATAGAAAATACAAGAAATAAAAGAAGTTTTCACACTAGCAGGATTCGATAGCGATTTATCGTGTATACGATAAAAGATAATTTTACAAATCAAACTAAATGACGTCATAATCAAGGAAAAACGATAAAATCGTATTTACTACTACGATTCTATCGTTTTTCCATGATTATGACGTCATTAATTTGATTTGTTAAATTATTTGTATATCGTATACATGTTAAATCTTTATCGAACCGTTCTAGTGTGAACATTTTTCTTATTTCTTTTATTTTCTATTAGCTTTTTATCGTTGATCGTTATCGTCATAGTACATTTATTGGACCAAAAAAGAACCGGATTCTTCACAGTGGCGGTTTCAGATATTTAAAATGGAGGTTGCGCATGACAGACCTTTTGCAAATTGAGGGTGTAGACAAACTCAGCCCCAACATGGGTTGGGGCTGAGGTTCGAAATATTATGGCTTTTGCTCCTCAGATGCCCGGAAATGGCAGTCTCAGATTTAAATTTGACCGTTTTTTTTTAGCTTGTGTAGAACGTAGAAAGCAATGGCGTCACTAGTAGTCATTACCGCAATTTGACCAAAACTCATCTCCAAGTCTGAACGTAGCATACGTTTTGCAGAGAACGTACGACGGTCACGCATGCCAAATAAAGTTATTTATTCATTTATAGACGTTTTGATAACTTTACGAAAGTTATGCGTCCAACGTTTGAAATATTAAAACGAAAAGCTTCAAGGGAAGCGATTTAAAGCGATATTCTAGTTCATGTAAATGGTCTGCATGTCTCTTTAGTTGATGTAACGACATAAAAGTCAGCATCTTCTGCATCATCCAATTCTGAACTTTGACCTGTACTAGTGCTCAATATACACTCGTTCGAAGAACTGATAAACGAAAATGAAGCACACGATTCTAGTCTACCGCATTCCAATGAGCATGCGCCAGAACTCACTGCCAACAGTCTCCTTACCACGTGTTCGGCTGCCGGTGATTTGTGTCTTTCAGATATGTAAAAGCTTTGATAGATAATACTTGAAGCTGTAACGTAAATCAATATAGTTATATTATATATAAATAAATAAATATATATATATATACATGTATATACAATATATATATACATAGTATATATATATATATATATATATATATATATATATATNTATATATAATGGAGGGCCTATAATTTTGTACCTGTTCTTACCTTCACACACGTATCCAAACTCGTCATCGCAACTTCTGTAACCCATTTCACCATCCGTGTCGATGTGAAAACAATCTCTATTCTCTGGATCGTCATTATCAGTAAATTCGTTGTAAAGTGGTTGTGCCCGGGTCAGCCATACTGGATGTCCTTCCTCTGCAATGTCGTTCATCCCTGTCCATGGTGATAGGAATGGATTGAAAGTTGATGCGATGGTAGTGAAGTAAGCTAGCTCTTCTGGAGTGTTTATCGTAATTAACTGTGAAGAGAAACTCTCGCACATTGCCTTCGCGTTGTTCCACGTTGTAGGAACACTGATAAATTTGTAGCAGTGATGATTGTACAGTATTACTTCAGCTGAAATAAACACCAAACAGATTTCATTCAAAATGACCATTGCCGGTACCTGTATTTTGATACATCGTCCCAGAAGCGATTCTCCCCCGTACGAAACATTGCATGAAACTGCACTCTGGCCGTCTTGGGTTTACTCGACTCGAGTTCGATACGATACCAAGTTAAAATTGTTAGGAACAAAAGCAGACATTTCACATAGTCGCCACGCTAGAGTATTGTTATGACTGTTTTTTTTCTATATGTTTACTTAATGTTATGTTATGTTTACCTAATAAATGTTAGAATAGAACAAAAACATATAATTATTCTTACAGCACTCAACAGATGTACATTGATGCGCCGTTATTCTAAAGGAGCCACTTAAAATTCCAAAGCAGTAATTCTTTACCAATCCAAAACAACTCACTGAGAATAATATTGTCTCGTCTTCTTTTGGGGTGTGTTATAATTCTACTTACTTTACTTTTAAACCTATTCTATTCTATCATTCGACTTTATTTCGACCTTTCCTGTGTTACCCCTGGAGAATCGTTTTTGCGAAAGTCGGATTTACTCACAAGGACCAGAACAGTGAAGAATTACAGGAGCAGGGTCTCATTATTGTTAGCAAAAGCAGTCGTAACGACGACTAGCAGCGCGAAAAAGGAAACCAAAACAAACCAATACAAAAAAAAAAAAAAAAAAAAAAAAAAAAAAAAAAAAAAAAAAAAAAAAAAAAAAAAAAAAACAAGTGTAGGCCTATTTACAGTGTGTTGACGGTACTACTACACAGCAACAACAGCGTAGGGATGAGGTCCGGGCTATTAGGTGCCCCTTTCAAAATAGGCATAACAAATATAATTTCCACTTTAATTTCTTAAAAGGAAAAAAAAGGCCAAACGGCCAGCAAGTCCCTCGGTGTTTTTTAGGTTTAGAGGTGAAAATTTTTGGTTAGTGTTTCTTGCAATTGTTCACAATTTACGTGCCATCATATCTTGCATATTTGTAGACAACCTCTGAGACCGCACGGGCTCCCTTGCTTGCCGCGTTGGCTGCTTAAATGCAGCGTGACACGCCATGGAGCCATACAATTGAGACCGTCGTTCGAAAACAAAACGAAATACTCTGTAATCGTAGGCGTATTCTTAGCTTAAAAATATTCCGACAATAATTAATTATTTGCAACGGTATGTCCCAAATCTGCTATAAAACCAAAATTGCTGAAAAGGAAAAAAGAAAGAAGTATCTCAAACATTTTAAAACCACCAATGATTAATATTTTTTGTGTACACTCGCAAAATATATAGACACAGTATCCATAGTATTCTGGTACCCCACGGACCACTTTCCAAAAACGATCACGATCCAAAAATGGACAGCGAGTTTAAAAATTGATCGTGAAATATCAGAAATACAGTGCACTCTGCATTTCGAGACACCTCTAATTCCAGGACCCTTCTAATTTTGATACTTTTCAAAAGACCAAAATAACAATCCTTAAAATTTTAACACAAAGCTGTCCCTGTAATTGGAGACCAACCCCGACACCACTCCAAATTTTCAGGTCTCGAACCTCCCGTGGTCTCGAACTGTATGTGCATTGTTTGATTTCTTACAAATCCATCAATGAGACAAAACGATTACATTTCATTTTACGAAGTTCTCCCCAACTAATGATGATACAGTACCATGTATGAGCGCTCCGTCGTTTCTATTCAGCTGATAATGCCTGCCCAATGCTCTCGGATCGTGAATTTAAGGCTGATGGGAATTTTCTGAAGTGAGAGTTTTATGATTGCTTGTATATACTCGCATTACATGTTCCGTTTATTTCTAAATTTTAGTACAGAAATTTAACGAGAAAACGCGAAATAGATTAACGGGTTGGTGTTTACTTCTATTTTCGAGAAGTTGGGCATAGTAGGCTAAATATTATGATGAGTTCATTTGATATTTTAGTGGGTAGACTAATCTTGTCATTATGGTAAGCAATTACATTTACCTAGAAATGAAACATTAAACAGCCAGAAGAACAACATTGGTTTGACATGGACAGCGGAAGGAAAGCGAAGACGAGGGAAGACAAAAAAAAAAAACAAAACATGGAGATGAACGGTGGAAAAAGAAAGGACTAAGGGAATAGATTGTGTTAGTTTGTGAAATCACAGTAGCGCGTCAAAA